CTCTCTCTCTCTCTCTCTCTCTCTCTCTCTCTCTCTCTCTCTCTCTCTCTCAACGTTGTCTCATATCCCGATTGCCGCATTATAAAACAAACCACAATCAGACCGTGAACGCTACATTCTTCCGTCCTATAGTTCTCAGCCACTGTATAAAAAGCATGACAGACAGCATGACAGACAGCATGGCAGAGGTTGACAACCCAACCAAGCCTTGATGTTGCCTTGTAAAAAAATTATCACAGTCGTGCATCGCTCCCCCCCCTTTCTACTTTCTGTTGCATGTGTATGGTTTCAAAGCAGAATGAAAAGGTTTCCAATTTCAGCAGAGTAACAAAAGCCAGCGTACACCAGGATTCAGCGCAGGTCACGTTTGCTTAAAAGATACTGGGTCCGGGTGTAATAAAGTGTGTATGTGTGTTTACAAGTGTTTGTGATTGTGTGTGTATGTGTGTTTGTGTGCGTTTGTGTGTGTGTATGTGTGTATATTTGTGTATGTTTACATATGTATGGATGTCAGGCGCGGTTCGTCCATAGAGCACGGTCGTGCAGTGCCGCCCAAAATTTGTATTGTTCATTTACGTAAAGCACCCACAATAATAAAATAAAAGACGGCAGAAACAAACACTAGCCAAATATTATATCAAAATAAGGTCCCGTAAAACATTTACATGTACTATGCCTTGCCAAAGTCTACGCGCTCTAACTAAACGTAATAGGAGATTCAACAGTAGTAACCTGACCTATAAATCGCTCTTTGGGATAACTCAAGCGATGACGACGCTCGTAGCGAGTTTGGCGGTACATTGATATTGATAAGTCGGCACATCTCAAATGTGCTCCTGCCAAATAGAGTCAAAACCTAGCCCACAGTAGGCAGACTAAATAATATACTGTACACTATTCTATGCCAAAATTATGTGAGCCCCGGAGCAATCCAGCAGAGTGCTCAAGTGAATTTTGATTGGTTCATTGTCTTGCCACTAGGCTATTTTAAGTGACTCTGTGACCGTGAACCTGAGAGAGGTGAACGCGACATACTTAAGTCACCGTCCTATGAGTTGTGCCTTTGAATGTTTTGCTGTTGAGTGGTGAAAGTTATTACTTGAGTGTTCAGTTCTAATGCAGGATGAACGAAATTGATGTTTAGTTTACCAACAGATTTAGTTCTAGAAATCAAAGCAACAAGCAAACAGAATGAAAATAAAAGCACGAGCTCCTCCCTCACCAACCCAAAGATCCTAAAACTATACACCGCCCCATTTACTATGCCCTTGACTATCTTCAGTCTGTGATAGCTTAATTAATTGTGCACGCCCACTTTTTAGCCCCGCGAGCCGCCCCTGATGGAAGGGTGTGTGAACATGTGTCTATACCTGTACGCGTGCTTGTGCGTTTGTGCGTTTGTGTGTATGTATGTGTGTGTGTGAGAGGGTTTGTGTTTTTTTTAGTCGTGTACATGTGTACAGGTGTGTGCGCTTGCGTGTATGTGTGTGTGTTTGTGTGTGTTTCTGTCCGTTAGTGTGTGTATACATAATGAATATTAGTTTTCATACATACATACATACATACATACACACATACACACATACACACATACACACACACACACACACACACACACACACACACACACACACACAAGGTTGCATTCATTGATTAGAGCAATCAACTAAAAATGTATAATAGGGAGTTATTTGTCCATATCTTGTACTCACACAATCACACTTAAACACCCCCTCCCCAACCCCAAGGTCTCAATTAATGCACATTGACCCTCCCCCCTCCCCTCTCCACACACACACAAATCTCTTTTTTCCCCTCTGCAGACAATTCAATGACAAAAGACCAAGACTGAAATATTTATTTTGCTGGCCCTCATTAAATCATAAAATTATAAATTAATCCGTACAGACCTGATTGAGGGGCTCTCGTGGCCTAGAGGTTAAGGAGTTCGCCTTT